TGGATAATGCTAATGTCGACGGTATTGTAACTTTCAAGCTTCATAACTCAAGATTTACTTAACCAAAATACATTTTACCTATGTGTTTTGGAAAGCTCTCGAAATAAGCTACAAGAATATGCAACGAACAATAGAGGGTTCTATTTAAAAAATTCAAAGTGATCTTGTCCTGATCTTGACAACGCCACTCAGGGTCAAACCAATGTTATTGTCTTATGTCCCCCTCGAAGTCCTAAAACTTTTATCTGAAACATTTTTCTCTCAAACCTCGCGATTTCCAAATATTTGAATGTCAAATATAAAATAGGACACCCTGTATATATATATATATAGGTATATGTGTAGGACGAAGGCACTGGAAAGCAAACATGTAGTCGATAAACAAGAGGCTGTAGCATTATGTCACGACTGAAATATTTACGCGAATGGGAGCGATGTTCTCTCGATGCGGTTAATGCGCTTTATCGCGTAAAATCCATTTTGACACTGTACGTAAAAGTCGCTGCGCGCGAAATTATCGGAAAATCACTACTCACGCGAGCTGGCTCTGCTCGCTAGCTTATTAGGCGAAGTGCATTTTCCATTACGCTATATTATTATTTTAATAATCGGCCTTTAACATTTTGATTTCTGTCTTTATCTTTTATGTAAGCCAGAAATTCCAATAAATTATAATATTTTTTGAAGATACAAATTAATAGTTTTACTTTTCAAATTTTATTAAGTTTTCTTGAGAATTTTTGAACTGTCTGCTGTGGACATAAGTCAACGATGAAGGACGAAAAGTTCGTGTCTTTGTTCTAAGTTAAGAAAAAAAAGTGACTCAACGCATTTTCAATTATAATTATCTAAAACAAGAATTATCCATCTCTTCAGCAAGAAAATAATTGAACTCAATTGTGATTATAGGCTCGTAATTGTAATAACAAAATACAATAAAAAATAAGTCAGAACCGAGCATAAAAGGATGGTCAATAAATCAAAATAAAATCATGCAAAAGCCATGTTAAAAGCATGTATTCGAACAAGTTTCGACTTTATACTTAGTCTTCCTCAACGACAATAAGTAAATTAATCAATTAATCTAACCCATAAATAACACTAACAAAAAACGTACATTATTAATAAAATCAGACATGTTTAAATATTTAAAACGGTCACTAACGTTTCTGCGGAAGTCATATGTCCTCTCTATTGCTCTTACATTCATACGCTTGCAAGTCATTAAAAATCTTCCACATCTGGTCGTCTTTTATCAATTGCGACAGTCTCCCACGACAAAGAATATCTGGCCTCAGACATGGTTTAATTTCCAATAGACTGATATTAAGGACTATATCTATAGTATCATTAATTATAATTCTGTACAATGAATAAATAGCAAACAGTTAACCATGTTTAAGATAAAAAAATTAGCAATATAACTATATGTGCAGTCAAGAATTACTTACATAGCTGTCCATTAAATCATATATCTATTATTAGATTGAAGTATCAGAACTTTACTATAATTATTTGATGTCCGTTAGCGTTTACCACAAACGAATGGATTTATTATATCAATTGTTGCACTAATTGTTGCTACCTATCTATTTATTATTGGTATTAATACCGATTTTTTTAGTAACTCTCTGAAGAATATTCTATGACACAGCTTCCAAAAGACTAGTAGTTTCTAACGGCGTTTCTTTCATGAGACAAGCTAAATACTCACTCAAATGCTCCAACAAAACTTTTGCAAAAGTTAAACTATAAAGTCCTTCATATATGTTTTACCTTTCCATTATAGTTTTATATTAATTTAGGAAGTTGACTAAAATAAATAAACAATAATGTACTTATATAACGTATTTATACAATAATGTAATTTGATTGAATCAGATTAATATTACAGAGACTTATTTGCTTACTAAATAAATAAAAAAATGTATTTATTTCAAAAAGATAAACAGTGTTTTCGTTTTCCTTGAAAACGCGCTGCTGATTGAGTTTCTTCATTGCTTATTTATAATTGATAGTGTTATTACATATCTTTCAGCGAGCTTACATTAAGGAGATGAAAAACGCAGAATGACTTCTTATAGTATTATCATTTACAGTAAAGGAGAATCTGTCGATAAATACCCATCGATTTCGTCTATTCGTAGGAATATCGTTGCATGGATATGACGGCCGTATCGAAAGTCTCGAATTTCAGGGATCAATTTTGCGTCGAACAAGAACACCGAAACGCACTACATCCTCTCTGATTTCGAACGTTGCGCGACTGTCCAGATATTCCCTTGTAAAGAAAATCTTGATAAATACTTGTGAAATATTTTAGTTTAAGTTTCTTCAAAAACAAATGATATTTATTTACATTAGATAGATATAGCGTCAATCAGCTTGACATTTACACATGTTATCAGGCTTAATTAATATAGTTCTGCTGTGACAATCAAAAGATCTTAACTGTTTATTGAAAAATTTTAAACAAATTAAGTTGACAATATATTTATAACATATATTTAATTCCATCAATTAAGCGTCATTTATGTACAAATACGTTATTTATACATTTAAATAAATATCTAGGTGGAGAAGAGACTCTATCTGCGGATTCTCGCCTAGAAAAATTTATAATCTAATCTTTTAAATTTAATTTTAGTTTTGAATTAGAAATAGATTTGGATTTTGTTATAAATTTGTCGGGGTGAAGGTGTAAAAAGAGAAGCCAAACTTCTTCCCCGTTCAAGCATTTACTTAAATATGCAAATATGTAAATGTGCAAATAATGTACTATTTAATAAAGTTGAATGTATGAAATTAAACGTACGTATATTATTATCAATTTTGTTTGTTACTTATTAACCCTAGACTACCGCACTTGGATAAAATTTACCCGGACCATTTTTGAAGTGCGTGCCATTCTGACAGGGTTGAAGAAGTGGAGTCGTGATGTAGGGGGGAAAAAACTTACAAGTGTCCTCTACAACCTTCCATCATAAGCCACGTTATTCCACTTGGTATTGCCATTCCAGCCACGCGTAAAGTTCGACAATCGGTCTAGTTCACTCGGTCAAAGAAATGTTTTTTTAAAGTGAAGCCGTATGAGGTATTTTTCTTTTAAAAATACTACTCATGTTCTTTTAGAAACTATGCTTTACTTTTTTTTATTCGCCTCTAAAAAAACTGCGATGTAAAAGAAAAATCAGCCTTTTTCAGAAAAGATATAAAAGCTGATTTACATTTTTAAAAATTGTTTATGTCTTTAAGATCTTTGAGTGTTATTATCCATTCAGTCATCTTTCTTACTGTCTGGTGTATAGATTAAAAAAAAGTTCTGAATCGTTTCAACCGAAGCGTTTGAACCGAAGTTACGCAATAAAATAGATAGGCTAAGTAAATTTTACCCAGTGTGGTAGATTTGGGTGGCAAATATGGTGTGGTAATCTAGAGTTAATCAACAATGAGCGACAGTTAAAATCTTTCCCGCTAAAAATAATTAGTTGCATCGACGTCGATCGACGTCGATTTGACCAATTATTTCTGATGGATTTTGATTGTTACTCAAGGGCTTTTGATAACGTATGTAAAGCTCAAATTAATTAACATTGATCCGATAATGTAAATAATTATTAAACCTTTACTATGCGACTATAATTTAAATGCGAAATCCGATAACGTAAAGCAATTTTATTAAAAGAAATTGCATATCTCATACACATTTCTTCGCGCAATTCTCTCCTTTCACACATATTTTTGTTAAATATTTTATTTTATTATTTTGTAAAGATGTACATACACTTATTTTTTACTATTGTAAATATATAATTGTTATTAA